CACGGCCAATCTCAAGTTATTTTATTTTTAGCTTTTTTCCTTTCAAACATGTGTAATTTCTTTTTCTTCAATAAAACAATCGATTCTTTTCAAGCATGAGTTGTTCTTTGTGAAAGTTAGCTTTAGTGAAGTTAGGAATATATAACCAAACATTATTCTAAGTTGGCTGGAAAAACTAACTTAGAGGTTGGCTGGATTAAACCAATACCCTTCCTAAGCCCAAGATAAGGATCCAGGCTGCAGGACGTTTGGTCGGAATAACCAAACATTACTCTAAGTTGGCTGGAAAAACTAACTTGGAGGTTGGCCGGATTAAACCAACTCTTTGGACTCTTCAGCCAAAGTATGGGCATGGCTGAAGATTGGTTGGCTAGATTAAACCAACTCTTAGAACTCTTCAGCCGAAGTATGGGCATGGCTGAAGAGTGGTTGGCTGGATTAAAACCAACTCTTTGGACTCTTCAGCCGAAGTATGGGCATGGCTGAAGATTGGTTGGCTGGATTAAACCAACTCTTTGTACTCTTCAGCCGAAGTAAGGCATGGCTGAAGAGTGGTTGGCTGGATTAAACCAACTCTTTATACTCTTCAGCCGGAGTAAGGGCATGGCTGAAGAGTGGTGGGCTGGATTAAACAACTCTGTGTACTCCTCAGCCGAAGTATTTATGTCGGCTAAGGAGTGGTTGGCTGGTGAGCATAGTTAGTTTAACCATCTAAAACCGGAATAGCAGTTGGAGTAATAGAAGACATTACAAGCGCAAGCATACACATCAAAACCGGAATAAGAGTTCAAGCAAAATTTTCATTCATTGAAAAGAAATTACAGAGGGGCATAGCCTGGTTACAAAGACAAAAGGTAACAAAAAAGAGAAAAAGTACAAAATCAAGAGAAAAGGTCTTCAATTTCGGCATCAAAAGTTGCATCGACATCATCACGAAGACCGGTTTCAGCTGGGAGCTCGCTCACGGTCGCAAGGGTGGTTTCGGTCGGAACCACGGTTTCCCCTGGACGTTCAACAGTCAGGTCTTCCACCATGGGCTCCAACCGAATTGTCTGATCCGAGAAAAGGTCTTCAATTTCGGCATCAAAAGTTGCATCGGCATCATCACGAAGACCGATTTCAGCTGGGAGCTCGCTCACGGTCGCAAGGGTGGTTTCGGTCGGAACCACGGTTTCCCCTGGACGTTCAACAGTCAGGTCTTCCACCATGGGCTCCAATCGAATTGTCTGATCCACATTGACAACCGGAGTATCCTCAGAGGCTGAGTCTTCATCAGAGTCTGAGCCTTCAAGAAACTGCTGTTGCATGGCATTAGCATACTCCACAAGGGAGTTCGGTATGAAGTAGGCTGGGGGGTTGAAAACCTCGGTCTGTGGATCGTGACCGAGCTTCTCAACAGCTGCCCTCCAGCCGCACTTGAAGAATAGCTCCTTGGCAGCTTCGCACTGCTTGACATAAGCATCCTTTGCCTTCTTGTAGCCTTGCTTTTCGGCTCCTTTTGCGCTCTCCTTCAGTTGGGATATTTCAGCATCTTTCTTCCTTTCGAGCTTCACCAGCTCCCGCAGATACTTATCCTTTAGAGCAATGGCAGCCTTTTGTTTTTCTGCCTCGGCCGAACTAACCAATTCGGCAAGTCGGCCGTTCTCAGCTCGGAGCTCGGCCATTTGCTTTCTGGCCTCCTCTAGCTCGGCTGTCTTCGCTTCGGCCTCTGCCATGGCTTGCCTTGTAGTTTTCCTGAGCTCTAACACTTTTTTGTGAGTTACGTTATTTTTCTGAATGGCCTGACAAGACAAAGACTTCCCTTTGAGCCGAAGTGAAAGTTGGAGAAAACTAAAAAGAAAAACAGCCGAAGTTACTTACCAGAATCATGGATTTTGTGGAAGACCGGATGGCCTTCAGTTCGGTGTTCAATTGCTTTTGGTGGTGCTCCATGTCTTTGGGGAGGCACACACTCCTGGCCATGTTGAAGGCCAACTGGTGGTCTTTCTCAGCAACAACCGAGTTTGAGTCTTGGATGTCTCGATTGTTGAAAGTAAGTTTTGGTGCCCAGCTACCGGTAGTTCGGTCAGAAGGCTCCGGCTGGGGGCTCGGTGGCAAGCTCGGTGGAAGAGCAGGTTCTTGTTCATCAACCAAACTTCGTTCGGTTTCGGCAGTCCGGGCGCGCTTGGTTCGGCGGGAAGAGGACGGCTGTTGAGAAGGGAGGGCCACAACAGCATCCTGACTCTGTTCTTTTTTGCCATCTCCTCTTCAGCTGTTAGTGGGATCAGTCTAATCTCGGGTAAGGATGGGTCTGGTTCTGGGGCGTCTTCAAGCAGAAAATCAGTGACTCTGGCTTTTCAGCGACCACTATATCTGTAGGTCGGCTCGAACTTCAGCAATTTGGCCCAACTACGTTCTGGATACCGTAGTGCGGCACGCAAAGTTGCTAAGTTTGGGTAGCTGTATAAGGAATGGAGGTGGGCAGAATCTGTGAAAATAGACAACTGTTAGTTCGGCTGATGGATAAAAAAAACCGAAATGCAAAAAAGCAAGCAAGAAAACCGAAGTACAGTTGGCTCTCCTTTTTTCCAATTTATACGTCGGTCAGGAATCCGGGCTTGGAGATCCTCGAAGTTCCCAGACACCCAAAAGAAGTCGTCGTCATTTAAGTCTTTATCCGGTGTATGTTTTATTATCTTCTCTCGGCGACGGCGTATTCTTAAATAATAGACCCATCCATCTTCTTTTGAACCAATGGAGTATTGGTGGAAGATTTCAGCCAGGCCAAGGTTTAGTCCGGCTTGGCGGTTCAATTCGGCTATTCCCATTATGATGCGGTAGGAGTTGGTGGACAGTTGGGTTGGGCATAGTCTAGTTTGCCTAAGGAATTCACATATCAAAGGCTGGACTGGAAATCGTAGTCCGGTCTCGATTATGGATAAGAGGGTGAAGGGAACAAAGCCTTCATTATCCCAGGGAATGACATCCTTTTCGGCTAAAGACAAATGGACGTCATCAGGTATATTATAGTCCTTTCGGAATTCGGCTAGGCCGCCTGGAGTGTCTACGAGATACCTATACTTACCCATTTGTTGTATAATTTACGAATAAGTTATATCGGTGCAGAAATTGTGCTCAGTAGCTCGGTTGAGCACACGAAGGAGTGCCTGGGCAACCTAAGTCTGCAAAGTAGAAAACAAAGGGGTTAAGCACAGATCATAGGACCGTGCTACAAATTAAAAGCAAGGTAAAAGAGCCCTACTTCGGTTTTGGGGAGAGGTTCTATTTCGGTTCGACAAAATGCTTGGTAGCTCAGTTTGAGCAGGGTTCTTATTAAGCCAGATCTGGGCAAGCATCTCGGCATACTGGCTTTGGAAACAATTTTGTTAGACCGGTTCATCATCTAGGGGCAGCTTTCTGAGTTCAGTCTACAAAACTAAGAAAGCTGATTTAGCCCCAAAGGCCTAAATCGGTTGAACTATGAGTTTTGTTACTTCGGTTGAGCCTTTAGGGGCAGCTTTCTGAAGTTTGATTTAGAAACTAGGAAAGCTGGCTTAGCCCCAAAGGCTTAGCTCGGTTGAAGACCGAGGTTCCTAGTTTAATGAGTTCAAACTTCGTTCGATGAGCTTATCTCGGCCAGAGAGATTCGGGAGTTGGTAACTTACTGAAACTGCTGTTATTTCTACAAGTTCTAGTTCGGTTATTGTCTAAAGTACCTATATAGGACAAATAGTATCCTAGTTCGGTTGCTACATGATTTTGGATCCAAGACTAGTTTTCTACAGAATAGTTTATACACGCATGAGTTCTGTTAAAGTTTTTTCGTAAAAGTACAGAAGCGAAACAGAAATGGAAGAAAATGTTTTGCAAAAATACAGTAAACAAAATGCATAAAACAAATACGAAAGCAAAACAGAGGAAGTGAAATGGATTTGCTTACTAGAAGAAGATGAAGCTGGAGAGGGGAGCAACAACACCAACAAAGAACACGAGCTCAGAAAACTCAGAGGTTGGAGAAGCAGAGGCACGAAGAGAGAAGAAGATGAATAGAATAGGTAGATGATTCATAGGCAGAATGATAGTTTTGTGAAAAAAGACGAAAGGCAGAAAGGGTGGGACTGTTCAAATTTTTCGTAGTACGAGGGCGGCGTGACAGCTGCCCACAGCCTATCAGAGCCTGCCACGTGTCATTGAAAAGTGAAGCGTTACAATCACAGTGATTGAAGAGACGTTTTGACCGGACAAGCGGAACCCGGAGTAAATTAAGCTCGGCTGGAGAGGTTAACGGGTTTTTTAGCTCGGCTGGAGAGGCTAAAGGGGTTTTTTTTAGCCCGGCCGGAAAGGCTTAAAAACATTAGCTCGGCTGGTAACCAGGTAATCCCAATCATGCTGTGCAGATGGAATTAAGGGGCAATTGAGAGGATAATTTTGGTAAAAATTGGACCGAGCTATGAAGTGGACTTTATGGCCCAAAGTACGGACTGGGTAGAAAGGGCCGAGAAGTTACTCCGGCCCAAGAGAGAGATAAAGTTACTCCAGCCGAAAGAGATGAAGTTACTTCGGCTGAAGAATTGTAAAGCTATTTCGGTCCGGGCAATTTCGAGCTAGGCCGGTCTCAGAGTCAGTCCGGTCATGGTGTATTCTGAATAGGTCGATCTAGCGGTACCTTTGAGTTAGACTGGTCTTGGAGTTATACCGGTCGCGTTTTGTTAGTTCGGTCCAACCATGCCATGTGCTGTACATGAGAAGCCGATGTAAGAGAAATGAAAAGAAGAACTAGTTCGGCTTATTCTATGGCTATACATAGCCATGGGTACTTCGGTCAAATTGTAGTCCGGCCATGATAAAAACCATCCCACTTGGTTTAACCAGTGGGGGGGGGTGTAAAAGGATAAGCATTATCCTTTTAGAGTATGAATCCTAGGAGGACTCAGCATGGAGGAATAAAAGTCCTACTAGGATTGTGCCATTCGAAACCTATAAAAGCTCACAAACATCACCTTGGAAGAGGTAACACACAACATACAATTTTGCTTTCTGAATACATTGAGCTTTTGTCTATTTGTCAAGTTTGCTGACTTAGGCATCAGAGAGGTTTTCGGCACACACCCGCCGGCTAGCTCACGTTTGTGCTTTCAGGTGACAAAGCGACGTCGTACGGAGGAGCGTAGACTTAGTCAACAGGATTATACGAGGAGAATTATTTCTTTCCCGTACAGAATGTTATGGTAAGAATAGTATTGTCCAACATATAATAGAGGAAGATTGTTGATGCATGGAACATGGCTTGGAAATTATTTTGCTTTCTTCGTAATTATGTTTTAAGCAGTGCCAACTTTTCTCGGCACCAAAGGCACTCTCATGGACGAGAGGTTAGAAATATAAACTGTATTTGGAACCAAAAATAATAATAATAAAATCCATTGAAATAAGATATGAAGCAGTGACTATTCTTTCCTTTTGGTGGTTGTCATAAGCATCCTGAAAATGATTGGTTTACTTTCTTTATTCCATTGAAACTTTGCTTGGCTTTGATTGATTAGGAAAAAGGGAAAAACATAATTTCATGATGGCTAACGGGCACTACAAAAAAAATTGTTTTTTGCGACGGCAAAACGCCGTCGCAAATAATCCAAACGCCGTCTTAAAAGCTATTTGCGATGGTAAATTTTCTTTTTGCGACGGCAAGTGGGGGTCACAACAAGGGGGTTGCAAAAGACCTTTAGCGACGGCACTTGCCGTCGCCATTGTTTTTGTGACGGGAATATCTCTTTTTTGCGACGGCACAAGCTTTCCGTCGCTAAAATAGATTTTTGCGACGGCAAAATTCCGTCGCAAAAAATGTCGTTGCAAAAAATGTCGGCGTTAATGACTATTGGCGACGGCAATTGCACCGTCGCTAAAGCCTTGTTTTTCAAATAAATTCCACCCCTTTTGCGACGGTATGGCTGCCGTCGCAAAAAGCCTGGCACAGTTTTTTTTTTTTTTTTTTTTTTTTTTTTTTTTTTTTCGCCGTCGCTAAAGGCCTCATTTTCAGTTTAATTCCTACCTTTTGCGACAGTATTGGTGCCGTTGCAAAAAGTTTGCTACCATTTTCTTTTTGCGACGGGGTGCTCTACCGTCTCAAAAAAAAATTAAAAAAAAAAACCCCTGTTTTACAATTATTTAAAATATAAAAATAACCTGTAATGTTGGCAAATGATATAATAATATAAATACATAAATAAAA